GCTTGCTCTGCACTTTCTTTGGAGCCATGCTGGATGTACTGTATGTGCTAAAAAGCACACCGAAAAGCTTCACAGCAAGTGTCTGTCTGCGACCGTGATCTCACTTAGAGGAAGCCATGACCATGTGTCAGAGCAGGGAAGATGGCTGCGGGTCATGTGTCATCACCCAATGCGGAGTTTGCGAATGGAAACAAAATTTTGTGAACGCTGCTGTTCGCGAACCAAATTGTTTGTGAACAGAAGCGTTCATGAATCAAGGTATTACTGTACTTGTGCTAGTGTCTAATGAACACAACTGTACACAAGATTCTATGTACTAGTTTTTCATTTCTGCATTATGAGAACTTATACGAATACACATATTTATATATATATATTTTCTTATAGATTAAGATGCTGCCTACACCATCCAAATTTCATTATATCTTCAACCTGCGAGATCTTTCCAGAATTTGGCAAGGCATGTTAACAATTAAATCAGAAGAATGTACTGATGTTAATATACTTCTGGCTCTATTTAAACATGAATGTACGCGTGTAATTGCTGACAGGTATGACTATTTACTGAAGCATTACAAGCAATAAGAGAAGGAATCAGGCACCTTCTACTCAGCTCTCATTTTGAAATTCAGGTTCCAAAGATTAATTTCAAAGAAATTGTTAAGTTAAATATATTATGTACCTAGTTCTAAGAATGATACGAATGTGATTTTGTTCTCATTTTGCTTATGTAGTTATTTAATCTTTCACTATACTTTTGGTGAGAGTTTTGCATTTATAATGACTAAATTTGTTTCTTGCAGATTTATCACCGAAGAGGATGAAGAATGGTTTGATAGAAATTTTAGTAGAGTAATTGAAGAACATGTGGATTCAAACTTAGTAGCACGAATTCAGGCTGAACCCTATTTTGTAGATTTTTTGCGGGATATGCCTGAACCAACGGGTGAAGAACCCGAAGATTTTGTGTTTGAAGCACCAAAAATTTATGAATTGGTATTTAAATAGATTGATTTTTATATACTTTCTTGACTCTAGGATAGGTAACTGCAAAAATGTAATGCATAGAGTTACATAAAATATATACTTGAAATGCATAGTCAAGAAATGCATAAAGCATACCTATTACATACCAGCATAATAAATATTCTGCATCAATTCTGTATAATGTTCAGGATTAGAAATAACTGCATTTGGTAGTGGTAGTGGAATCATTTCTAAAGATAAAAAAAGTTCCCCAAACAGCATCTTCCTTCCTTCC